CTCATTCCCTGAACCCTCTTTCTGCCCCCTCATTGACTGAACCCATACAAAAAGCATTGGTACACACCCACAATATCATCCAATAATAACGAGGGAATGAGATAATGACGGAATGAGATATTGACATTGATGTAATTATACTGTATATCAAACTTAACTAAATAATAAAATCTCATTTTAACATTAATTCTTATGACAAACAAATCGCAAAATCTGGGCAATACTGGACAAGTCTGTGATGTCCTCATTGGCCACAAAGTGTGTCCACGCCTTAGGATCGGGCGCATCGGCCCCGGGATTAAAGGCCGCGTCGAAGTGCAGTTCAAACAAATCACTTTTGTTACTCTCAAACTGTTGGTCGGTCTCAATGTATTTCCGGTAGTTATTGACAAAAGCGGGCATAAAATCTAGATAATTTGTAAAATAATTATTTAACTTTTAATTATTTATAATATTACTTTACTTCTGAGCAATTATTTAAACACTAGTCTATAAATGCTAATTGAAAAATCGTTTCCAAATGTCATATTTTTACATACTGTATAACTAAAACATTTCCAGTACACCCCCCTCTCTCTCCGCCCCTCCCCGCTTTGAAAGTATCAAAAATGATTGCAATACTAAAATAAAATTTATAATTTTGTGACTAAATGTGCAAATAAATTAATGAATTATGCCATAACTTGCACCAAATTACCCCATTGAGACCTCTTGATATAAAATATTACTAAACCAATAAATGTAAGTACCAAAGGGTACTTTGTAGTAATGTACTTTATATTGCTATTTAATCCAAGATTTTAATAACATTTAACATTTCTTTATCCACAGGACCTCTTATAAGAGGTATGGAAATAAATTATGCATTTTTGTTACCCATTTTAAAACCGGGTTAAAAATTTACAAATACTCAAAAATTTGCCCTTAATTTTGTTTATTTGATATAAATTTAACTTGTGAATAAATACTTTCGATTGAGTTCCATAGGGTCTACTGGTTAAATAATAATTATTTGTACTTGTATATCATATTTATTTTAAATTATATTGAATAATTTTGTTAATTAATTAACTAGTTTGTCATTACAAAATCATCTTATTTATTAGCAATATTTAACAATTATGATCACTAAAAAACTGTTTATTGAACTTCCATTCATACAATTAAACTGATTCAATAGAGACTGCAAAACATCTATTACAAAATCACGATTTTAATAATGTCTACATATGAAACATTATAAACAGTCTAATATTATGGTCTCTATAATACAATATCTACAACGATTACAGATTCTATGTAGATTCTACATAGTGCACTTATCAAGGGTAAAATATAAAATAAAATAAATCAGATAAAATATAGTCCGTTTTACGGGCATAACATTACTAGTAAGTTTGGGCACTCATTAGTGTATTGATTAAATGAGCTTGTTAACCATGTGATAACTTTAGTACTTTGTTTGGTTTCATAATTTGATTTATACACAAATTAAATCTATGTAAAATGCACTTAAAATATGCACCAAATATATTTTAGAAAAGTATAAAATTGTTTAATTTAGTAATAAAATATTTATTTACTAATCTTTACCAAAGTTGTAAAGTTATAGATGGTTTATTATTAAATTTACCAATTGAATTCAATTTATTCATCATGTTTGAACAACTTGTTATTGGCTTATTATGTAGTTTATCATTAATTTATTGGTAAAATTGAAAAATAAAACTATTTAAATTAATCAATAAAGTTAAATTTTGTATATTAAATCTAATTTCAAACTAGGTATCTAACGAGGAATTATGGCTATTTCAGCAAGATGGGTGTAAAGGGTCCAAAGCCCATGGTGTTTTTTGGCACAATTCTTAAACGCTTTCGCAATCCGGTCTCACTTCTGGATCAGTCATATGTCCGTAAATATGGCAATGTTTTCGGGTAAATAATCATATGGTTAATTATTACATACATACTTTACATTAATATACGAGTAGGTTCAATTTTTAGAAGTTTATTAAATAATAAACTACTAAAAATTAAACCTACTTATCTAGCTAATTGTTGACCACAATTCTTACTACTGTACAACAAACAAAAAACAATTTAATATCATTATATTTCATCATAATATAAAATAATTATTTACCATAAACAGCATATTCAACGGCACGGATCCGGTACTGTTTGTGGCGGATCCGGCGCTCGTCAAACAGGTATTGGTTAAGGACTTTCAACGATTCTCTGACCGACGGACCCTTAAGACAGAGCACCCATTGATCAACAAAAACTTATTCAACACCGAAGGCGAGACGTGGAAACGTTTGCGTACCATAATGTCCGGCACATTCACTTCGGGCAAAATGCGCAAAATGTACCCACTGGTGCGCCAGTGCATCCAGGAATACCTAGAGCACATGGAAATATTGGCTAAACGTGGCGAACCGATAGACGCCAAAGCCCTGCACCAGGGATTCACCATGGACGTTATAGCCCGTACGGCGTTTGGCACCGAGACCAATTCCCAAAAGGAGCCCAATAGTCCGTTCGTGAGAAATGCCCATGATGTTTTTAAATTCAACCCGTGGAAAGTGATACCGGCGTTTATATTTCCCAAATGGTTGAATACGGCGCTCGGCATACGTACCCATTTAGGCGAGAGTCCCAACAATTGGATATTTGAATTGAGCCGACATTTGCTGCAGAAGAGGAGGAATGGCTTCAAAAATAATGATTTCCTGCAACTCTTGGTTGAGGCGAATGCCGCAGATATTAATGCTAACCATCAGAAGGCGGCCATTGATAACGAGTCTCATCACGTGAATGAAGGTTTGTGTTTCATGTGCTCTCTCTCTCTCTCTCTCTCTCTCTATCTATCTCTCTCTCTCTCTCTCTCTCAGCATTAATACAAATCTCTGTCCAATTCTTAGGCGAAGACGAAAAGATGGCCGAAAACTCTGCACTGAGTTTAGACATCGCCGACAAAATGCTAACCGACGACGAGATCATCGCCCAGTCGTGGCTTATCCTGACCGCCGGCTTTGAGACAACGGCCACAACCCTCGGCTACATCTCGTATCTCATGGCTCTCTATCCGTCATCACAGGAGCGGATCCGCGCCGAAGTGGCCGAAGCGGTCGACGCGGACGGCGAGATCAACTACGAGACACTTCAACGCCTGCCATACCTCGACGCCTGCCTAACCGAAACCCTACGCCTATACCCACCCGTCGCGCGACTGGAACGGGTGGCCTCCGAGGACATAGCCCTCGGCGTCGACGGTGTGGTCGTACGTAAGAGACAAAGGGTTGAGATCCCGGTGTATGCCATACACCGGTCCGAAAAGTACTACTCGCAGCCCAACGAGTTTCGACCCGACCGGTGGTTACCCGAGAATAAGCACAAACTAGTGCCCTAT